CAGCCAATTTTGCTGAAAAAACGGAATTCTTATTCATGCGACATCCGTGTGATGCAAGCATCCACCGCGGAAATTCGTACATTGCTTTAACATGAGAATCGCCAAACCCGAAGCCTTACTATGCGCTGGGAAGACTAGCATGTTTGTTCCACGCGATAGATAGCGAATTAAAGTCATATGAGGTAGTATGCCCAATCGCTTGAGGCTTGCTTGTTCAGTCTGACGTTCATTAGAGATCTATCCTGTCACCAATGCTGTTTAACTACGCTATTTGTTGGATTTTTGGGAGTCCCTTCATGACGATGACGGTTTAGAGTTTACATCCAGACGTCGCCTGCCTGATTTCCATAACGTCGATAGACCTTGCTTATTTCAGGCGTTGATAGTCCATAGTTGATGAAAGAGCTTGCTATATCGGTCGACCTATTTATACATTCTTGGAAGAAAAAAATGCGATTAAGCTGTATTTATGACCTGGAAAAATAAAGCTTTTTAGATTGATGACTTTCCCGTTGAAAAAGTGGATTTTGTATACGAGCACGAGGCTCGTAAAAACGTCATTCTCTCTTTTCGGGGTGTTTTCTAGCCTTATAAAATGTCCTTGGCGTCGACGCGGTATATCCATCACCTAGAAGAGTTGCATACGCCATTTTTTCGTTCGGCCAGTCCTTCAATATGTTTATAAATGCTGGACTCTGCGTGGCGAATATGAGTAACAAATGTGGGTTCTTCACTACCAGTGTTCAAGCAATAAACTTTGAGTGCTGTGCCTGGAGGTCGTCTCAAATAAGACTGCCTGAACCCGCTGTGGCAACGCAACAAGGGTAATTCAGTTCATCCGAGAAAGAGGACTGAGGTGAATTGAGCACAAACATCTTTGTCCATCTCACGAGATGAGTTTTTATTTCCCTTGATCCAGCAACACCACTCCACTGGAGCTATCGACGCAGGTAAACATGTCATGTACAGTACGCGCCAGAATTCGCGCAACATGCCGACATATGCGAAAGACTGGTACTATTTCGCTAATCGGCATTGACTCCGGCTGTGATACTGATTATCTTGTAGTCTATTTTGAATTTATTTGAGTCATGATAGGATGCGGGCTTTTAAATGGGCTTCGTTCAAACCACCAGCAAAATGGATGTAGGGCAAAAATTAATTTCATAAATAGTATGCGTTTTTATCATCGATTTTGACTGCCATTATAAATTCAAATATATTTTGCGGAAAGCTTGCACAAAAAATATATTTCTTGTAGTCTTTTGGTAGCAAATTACGCCATCTGAACAATGTTGGACACAATTTTCCAGTCATGGAAGGGATACTTTTCATCTCTTTATTTGCTTATTCTGAAAATATTTCATACCACAATTCATATCGTTTGATTCTCTCTTGCCGTATAGCATATAAAATTTCTATGATGTAATCTTTTTCATGAATAAGCCAAAATCAGGCCTATTTCGGTCCGTAACTTTAAATAAGATGGCACTTTTCCAAACTAAAGCCTTTTTTGTTATTAAATCGACTCAGTTGACCATGATAATCTGTCTAGGTATATGCTAAAGTACAAAGTTAAATGTCGTCATACAATTTGCATGCAGGAGTCGCCATACAGAAGTTGTCCAATTTTCTCAAAACAGGCACTACTATTTTGATTTGCATAATTTTACTCCACAATTATCTAACCTGCAATCACCCATTTCAGGTCTGATCGTCCAAGTTATCTTCTGTGCTGCAGTAATCCGGCTGTTCACCAGATTCTGTGCACCGACTAAACGCATCTACCTTCTGACTGAACGCACCAACGAAACGACTAAACTCACCGCCAAACATCGAATCTTTGCTGCTATTGCGTGGATGCCCAAGGCCTCGGTACAGGCCGCCATTGGCGGACTGGTTCTTGACGCAGCTCGCCAACCTGGCCAGAGTGAATTCACTGAACGGGGTATACAGGTAAGACCTGTTAGGGCAAAAAGCGGCCAGTTGCGTATGTTAACAGAGTTGCAGTGAAAGTCTTGATCCGTTTCATTGGCCAATTTTTTTTCTTGCAATTTCCCTCCTTTACCCGACATTGGTCTAGCACGAATAAATATATTACTAATGAGCCGTGGTGCTCGGTCGGATATATAGGGAGTGATTTTTAAGTCACAGTCAAGCAATAAATCCCCAACGTTTCACTAAAATTTCTTAGCTGTCGCTTCCATCCGACCCAGACTGCCTTTTGAATTACAGAGGCCTTATTCAAGGAAAATGCATCTGGAAAGGCAAACACATTTAACTCGAATTCTGGTGAGCGCTCGACTACATCGTTAGTGTGTCAAAGATCCCGAACTCTTAGTAAGTTGGGAGCTCGAAACGGCTGCTCTGCGCTCGGTTAATAGGTAGAACGGTCTACTGGCACCATGTGACACATCAGGGTTCGTCCACCCTATATAATGCGAGTTTAACTAATGGATATATCTAAGAGCAACTGAAGACGTGTGTTTAATGCTGTTACCATGACAGTCGGGATAATGATAATGCCAAATCATAGTTAGTGGCTCAATCAGGCCAATTGATCAGTATCGTACATGTTTAGGTAGGCAGAAACCCTGTCGAAGGGATATATAAGTGCGCACAACGTGGAGTGTCTGGATCAACAGCTCGATTGTTCCAGAATGTTAGAAGACTACACTAATAGGCAGCGATTCAAGTAAAGAGATTATTTCAGATCTAGTTGCTGCTTTGCTCTCCATTAGCGTATATATAAAAGATGCTGGATTGTGTCCTCCCAAGTGTATCTGTTACTGACTAGGTAGAAGTTCGCAGTCGATATTACTGAAATTGGTTGACCAATATGAGAGTTCACCCAAAATGCTTGGTGAGAATATTTTTCGTGTAGAAGACGGTGTGAATCAGTTGACATTTAAACTACAGTGACATTATCTTGTGTAGCTACATTGTCATCAATTCTACATAAAAGGCACTTAAGTACTAGTAACCTGCCGAATAGATGACAACTCCGTTGGAACTTAATGACTATATAGACCGGTGGGGGCGCTTAAGTTAACTATGATCTGCCCATGTTTCATTAATTGGTCGGTAGTATTTATTGATGTTTCATCTCGAATGACGCATACGCCTCCTCGTCGGTCAATCGGTAATACCCTCACATCCTTGCAACTTTTTCTGATTACCTCGTATATACCGGCG